GAATTGGGATGACAATAGAAAATTAAATGATTGAGTAAATGGGGGCGGGGAGGGCTGACCCTGCTGGACGTCGTCAATCCACAAAATGGAGACGAAGTTGAAACTTCATAAGTAATTTGAGGATCAATAGTGCAATTTTTTCTTCCCAAACAACCACGTTAAAGTCGCATTATTCATTCATTCTTATTGGTGAAATCGCTCTCCCCTTCACACACACACACACACACACACAAACAATAGCCATGGCAGATGAGGAAGAAGAGAGGGTTCTGGAAGAACAGTTGGACCTCCAGCTAAAAGAACAGAAGGATTCTCTGAATGCCATCGACGATGCTCTATCCGTCGATCCCTCTAACCCTGAACTCCAATCGGTGGGTGCCTCTACCTATGTGTAGATTATGTATGGGTATGCATACAGGTTTATTTATCTACTGGATTCTTTAATGTATTTCTTGAAAAACATTTCTTTTGAGTATTTGTGATAAATGTTATCTACACTGTTTCTATTTTAGTGAGGCTAATTGGAATTTTTGCTCTTCGATTTGGGTTTTTATATTTTTTACTAAAAATTGGGATAAAAATTGTACTTACTGATAGATTCGTATTTACTTCTTACTGCGATGTAATTTGTAACTTAAATTAGCCCCTGTTTGAGCCCTTTTTTTGGGATAATAGATTTTGTAATAGTGATCTTTTTGGTGAATGTATGGTTAATGGTAGGTAAAAGTTTTGGGTTTACACGCAAAATTATTTTATTAGAGAATGAGTTTGAAATAATATGCCATTTTTTGAAAATAAGGCTCAAACAGGGGCTTAGTAAACTTCATAAAAATATAGAATTTTGGTTTTAGAGGATATTGCAGTAACATTTTCTCTCAGTTTTAGGGCAATAATTATTATGTACCTGTTTATTCTCATTTGAGTGTCTATTTTGTAATATTTGCACGAAGTAAGATATGGCATGGCATACAGTTGAAATGAAGTATAAAGGGTTGAAAAGTAAAAGAATGGTGCAGTCCGTGATGATCAAAGAAGTATTATGCTTTCAATTTGAGCACTCATAGAGTTTTCTTTGCCATCGCCATCTATACTACGGTTAATAGCTTTGGGGCATGTAGAAGCTAATTGTTTATTGTAATGATTTAATTAAAGAATTCTCTTACAGTATGTTATCTGTTGCTTGTGTGTGTTCTATGGTGAATCCTTGAGACTCATTTATGCTATATGTTCTGTTAGGTTTATGATGAGCTTGTTCAGGCCATCAAAGATGCCGAGGAAGGGCTTCTTCACCTAAAACGTGCAAGGTTGTTACGAGAGGCAGATTCTGTTCTTCAAGATTCTCTTCATCCTGATGATGTCAAAGTGGACTCTCTTGATGCAACAAATGTTGAAGCTGAGCCACTGGTGGATCAAAGTAACACTATTGGATCAAAATGTAGATTCCGGCATACTGATGGACGATGGTACAATGGTTTCATTGTTGCATTGGAAGGCTCTCAATCTGCAAAAATTTCTTTCCTCACACCAACATCTGAAAGCATGTTGGTGGGTACAAGTACATCTTAATCTTCTTTATAGCTGTTACCTTTTACTATTATAATTTCTTCTCTTGATTTTGTGAACAAATTTTTTTTTCCTCGCTCCAGCATCTGAAAGCATGTTGGTGGGGTATTCCAGTTTTTGTTTCTTTATTATGCAAGATGTCTGAAACCAAATCCTGTAAAAGGACATAGGTTTGAGTTGCTCTGCTTTCACTTTGAGGGGTTGAGACTTGAGTTTTTCTTAGAATTGGACAATATGTCCTCATATCTTATATGGCATCAGCTTATATCCAAGAAATATTCGTCCAAATACGAATAGTGATTAAAAAAGTGGATCACTTGGTCTAATAGAGCATTAGGTCTATTGTCTATGTATCTATCTTTTGAATCTAATAGAATACATTGACTTGGAATTCTATGAAGTCCCTTGTTTGAGGTTCTCAAGATTTCAGAACCTTTATTCTGAGCCTTTAAGTTGACCAATGAACACACTTATTGCGATAAATCTGGCATGGCTCCTAGAAATTTTTTAATTCCCTATTCTGTTACAAAACATTATAGATGTTTTACGTTGGCAATACAGGGAAATGTAAAACTGTGAAGTAGAGGTGCATCGAAGGGGCTTAAGAAATATGTATTCAGGTTGCTTGTGTTAGAACCATAAATTGTTTTCTTGTTTTCTCTTGAGTTGATTCAACCGATAAATAAACCGAACTAGTTGCTATCTGTAGACCTATTTGACATCTTTCCACCTGTAAAGCTGGAAAAAAAATGAAAATTATGTATGAAAGACCAACCAAGATGGAGATGAGATCAGCAATCAATGGGGCAATAACCGGTACAACAAGGTGAATGTTGCGGTATCCATGCTTTGTTATTGAAAGGTGCCCCTGAACTTGGTAAACAAACCGGGTTCATTATTTGGTCTCATCATACGTCAACTCCAACCATTGTTTAAAGATGGAGCTTCGTTCTCTTTCCATCATCCTTTCAGCATTTTTGTCACACCAGTTCGACCACAAAACTTCTCTTGAAAGAAGATGTGGGAACTTCTGGAGTTAGTAGTTTTTGTTATTTGAGAAGTTGTCTCTTGAAAGTTCTTGTTTTCGCTCCATTTCAATTTTGTTTACTAACATTTATATATTAAAAAAAAATGTTCTGTATTTTTGTCAAATATTATACTATCTGTTCAAGAAGTGATATTATTCTGTTTTTGTTCGTAAACCGAGGAACTTTGTAAAGCTCTATGTCCTTAAATCACTTGGAATACTGGTATCCTTGATTTTTTCTTCTTTCTGAACTTATATGAATGAATACACTGGATTTGGTTAGATTGTCTTACTAATTCTAGACCACCCAAGTGCAGATGTGCAAGTTCTCTCTACAGCAACGATGTCGATTTGGTAGTAATTGCCGCTTTTCACATGGTATGTTGCAAAGTAAAGCAAATTTCGAAGCATGACCTTAGAGATGGTTTCAGATAACTTTCACTGCCCCTGCTCCTTTTTGTGTCTCTTCGAGGTTAAAATGCATACATGGTATTAGAGGTTCATCCTTTTAGTCGTTGTAGAAGGAAGAACTTCCGCTAAATTAATTTTGATTTCATAAAATCTTTTACGGCACTACCTAAAAGAATGAATTGGAGTTCCAACTTTAGTCTTTAACCAACTCCAAGTAGTTTGAGTAATTTCATTTGGCATGCAATTCTAGATCTTTTCCTTCCGTTTTCTATTTGCCGTTGTCGTTGCTCTTCAGTACAAGTCTGATTCTAATCAATATCAGCTTTTACATCATTGATCTTACAGTTTTGTCATTTATGTTGAAATGGATTGATGTTGAATTTTGTTATTTTCAGGGATTGATGTCCCGTTATCTGCATTAAAGAAGTATAGTGCGACAACTTGGGAGCAATCACTGGTGGGTTCCAGCATTTTGGCCCTTGCAGATTGTAAATCTGGCATCTGGAGAGAAGCTGAACTTGAATTATGGGATGATAAACTCAAAACGGGGGAAGTTATTTTTCGAGATGATGGAAGTTCTGCAAAGCTCGGAGCTGAAGCTATTACATTGTCCAAATATGCTCAGATGAGTGATGAAGAAGAGAGTGACCTAGGTTCAGAGCAATCTGATTCGAGTGACTATGAAGATGATAGTTCACAAGGGTTAGGGTTTTTAGAAAGCTCAACCTTGCAAAGAGGAGTCCAGACTGAAACTACGATTTTAGCCAAGTGGGAGAATCACACCCGGGGAATTGCTTCCAAAATGATGGCAAATATGGGTTACCGTGAAGGAATGGGGTTAGGCGCGTCTGGGCAGGGAATTGTGGATCCTGTTTCTGTGAGAGTCCTTCCACCAAAGCAATCTCTTGGTCACGCTGTGAATACTCCTGAATACAAAGAAAATAAAGATAATGGAGGAAAGAAACGTAGTCGGGGTGGGAAGAGGAAACGTGATAAGAAATTTGCAGCCTCATCTCGAGCTGCTAAAGAGGAAGAGGATTCAAAACCAGACGTCTTTTCTCTTATTAATACCCAGCTCGCAATGCAGGGAAAGATATTACGTGGTGGGTCAACGAAAACGCACCAGAATGTGCCAAATGGTGGAGGAAAGATAGAGGGTAGACGGGCCCTTGTTGCTTATGACGACGAGATAAAGGATTTGAGGGTTCAAATTACGAGACTAGAAGAAATGGTGGGCCGGAACAGGAAAGAAAAGGTAGTGTATGAGGCTGCTATGAGGAAACTGAATGAAACTCGAAAAGCTTTGGCCGATGCTGAGTCTGCTCAAGCATCTGCATCAAATGCAGTTGTCAGCAAAGAGAGAGAGAAGAAATGGCTAAAGTTTTGAGGGTTAATGAGATTGTTGCATATGCTCTTTTGGTTGTATTTTTAGATTGTCTGATTATGTTCATTTCTTTAATATGAAGGGCTTGTTATCTCACTTCATCTTCATTTGTTTAACTGTGTTGTGCACAAACATTGTTTTGCAGTCTTGCTGAAATAGTTCGATGAAAGGGAAGAAAAATGTCCGAACATTTGTAATTTTATTTGAGTTTAGGTTTTAAGTTTGACAAAATTAATATTCTATGATTGGCAATTTATTTATTTTAATATTAAAATCAACTAGTAATATCATAGAAAATAATCTTTATAATCTTTCCATATCTTCGACATCTCCTCAAACACAATATTATATAATGACAATAAAAATGAGTTGGAAAATTAAAATGTTCCAATGAAATAACTTTCTAAATTGAAGGGTCAAATGATACTTTAAAATTGTACGAAAGCTGATACGAAAGAAAAATCGTTATCCACCAATCTAATCAAACTATTGTTAAGACTTGAAGGAGATGTCCAAGACTATATGAACGAAGTCAAAATAAGAACCTCAAAACAGTTCTATTAACTAGACATGTCAAGGATATATCATGTTTAATGGTTGCACTCTGAAAATCTATCAGGTGTACCAGTACTTGACTCAAAGATGGAGATAAAAAGGACACGCGGCTGGAACAGAAGGTAAAACCAAACAAATGCCAAGATCACTTGGATAAAACAATCTGCCAAAATATCATCACCCATAAACCAAAGATAGATGTTAATAGCACAACTAGTTCTTACCCTATATTGCAATATCTCAATGAAACAATGTAAAATCCAAACTTTAAGGCCCAACCATACAGGAGACTAATACTGAACAATTCTGCAATCTGAATGGAGTTGGAAAATGGTAAAGAACTTAATCGTCTGCAAAAAAATTGCAGCATAGGTGGAAGGTGCACTAGAAAGGAGTGGTGCATTAGCGATGGGAGTTCAGATGATTCTACGAGAAATATATTTGCCAAATATTCCAATCTCGTTTCATAATCAAGCAATAGAAACGAAGACTAACACAGTGAAGCAAATTATGACGAGACAAAATAATATAAGAAACAAAAAACAAAAGACGTGTCACTCTTAAACATATGATGTAGGAATCAAGAACAAGTTAGTTTTCCTTCCAACAGCTGCACCAAAAACCTCAGTCATGTCCAATTCTTGAGGACTAACCCTTCCAGGAATTTTCCAGTCAAAGTGGTAGAGAAGTCGAGCTAAAGCAAGCTCAACGCTGGCTATGCCAAAGGAAATACCTGGGCACATTCTTCTCCCTGCGCCAAATGGTATTAACTTGAAATTATTTCCCGCAAAATTAATGCTACTTTTGATGAACCTTTCAGGTTCAAAACTCTCAGGATTCTCCCAATACTTTGGATCCCTCCCTATTGCCCAGCAATTTGTTATGACTATTGTATTTATAGGTATTTCATATGAACCAATCTGACATTGTTCTCTACATTTTCTTGGTTTCAGCAGAGGACCAGGAGGGTGTAATCTTAATGTTTCTTTAACGACCATTTTGAGGTATTTCAGTGTCTGGATGTCGTTTTCTTGTACTTTTGTCTTTCCCTTGAAGGCCTGTCTCACTTCAGCTTGTGCCTTCTCCATTGTTTTAGGGTTCTTCATTAGTTCTGACATGGCCCATTCAACTAGTGTTGTTGAAGTTTCAATTCCAGCTATAAACATTTCCTGCTCAGTCATCAATGTAGATATCAGCATTAATTAGCTATGTTTGTCTTCTCTTCAAAATAAGCTTGTTTAAAATATGGCCGCAGAATAGGAAACTTGTGTTAACTTTCTTCACCGTCTATTATAAAAATAATGTACTTCTCATGGTTTTTGTAAAAAAATAAAATATATCTGGACTGAGAGGTTGTGCTACATGTAGATAACAATTTACCAACAGATGATGTAACGAGATTTAATTAGATTAAAATCTCATCAATCAAATAACTTTTCCACGTACATTTTGAAACATTATCATTTTGTAAAATATTATGTAAATAATTATGTACAAGAAACACTTTCCTTGAACTGAATGAGGGAATTTTGGAGTTCGAGCATGTTGAAGACTAAAACTTAACTATATAAAAGTGTTCCCTATTTAAAAACATAAGGTTTTAGATTAGCACTTAACATGACATTTAGCCCATGTTTGTCTACCATCATTCCAAAAAATTCTTTGTTACAGTAAGATTCTCCACCACACATTTATCCAATAAAATATTCTACACACAAACCAATAAAGTTACTTTACTTTTCAACCACACATTCTCCAAAAAATACTATTAATTACTCTATTTTTTTCCCAATGATGGGAGAGAAACACACCCTTA